GCAGTGTGTACAACTGCTAGTCAATTATTAGCGCTGTTGCCACATCTACATAGTCTTTATGCGTACATTAAATATAATTTAAAACTACTTAAATATGATATTTTTATGTTGTTAATTAGTCAATATGTATGCTATGTGCATATGAGTAGATTTCTTTGCTATATAGATAATGTTTATCGCAAATAATTTCAATGGAATTTAATTTTTTCAAATTGGCAGCGGGTTTTAGTCCCATAAGAAAAGCATAGGACCCCCCCTGCGCTCTTCACTTCCCTCGGACCCCGATATACCTCCTTAAGGAAACGGCGAAGTTTTCCCACAACTTCCACCCTTTCATTTTTGACCCCTACTTGCCCAGACCGCCCCTACAGTGTTCCATTTTTCCGCATAATAATATCCAATTTCCACTTCGTGTCGTACCCGCCTATAAATCAAGCTTTTGTTTTAATTTTCGCGTCCGCCGCCACTCGACTACCTAAAGTTTGTAAGTTAATACCCGACGAAAGCAATAATTAAATCACGCTACTAAATCAGCTCCCTTCTGAATATAATTGCATGTTCTACGAAAGTTAACATGTGGAATTACAACATATTTTACTGAATTTGACATGCCATTGTAGCTAGATGGCAGCACATAAACTCTAGTGACTAGTGACGACTATTTGTATTTAGTCATAGACAAACTAGACTGAACAATTTCAATAATTTAGTTAATTTATCTTTTTAATGTTTAGAAGACACTCATTAACAGTTGATGGACATTCTGTAACTATTGCAATGTTAAAAATTTAAGGCTGTTTTCTTAATATTAAAAATTGTAAGGCTAGTTTAAACATCCCATTACAAAAAAAAGATGTTCCAGATATTCCTAGATGCTTATATGGTAAAATTCGTGCGAGATTATTTCGAATTTAAGAAAGTGTTTATTGATGCAGATACTATTATTCTATTTAGAAAAATTATGCTACATTCAGACCGAAGAAACTGTGTCAAAAATTGCAAAAAATGCACTAAAAATTGATGACTTGCAAAATATAAAAGCCGTTTTACATTGACAATTTATTGATCAATTAATTCATGAAGTCGCTTCATCAAGAAATTGGACAAGTGTAAAGCACCAAATCTGCTGTCAAATAACTTCATGAATTTATTCATCAAGTTCTTGACGAATTAGAACATGTTCTAATTTTCGTCGATTTCTCCGTGAAGTCCAGAAGTACCAACCCAAGAAATTTCCAGACTCAGATCAGTAATGATGGAATTATGTTATTGGAATATGTTAATAATTTTGTGGCGTCGTACTAGTTTTGTATTGTTTTTACTGATTTGTTACTTACAAAAACTAATATTTATATAACGTGTGTCAAAAAGGTACCGGTGCTGTACCACTACAATTATGAATGGAAAGGTGACATTGTTGAAATTTATTTGCTTCTTTGATTTGTTGGTAGAGCTGGTTCATGTGTCAAAGAAATTCACGAAGTTTGTAGCAGTGTAAAACCGAACGGTTTACAAATAAATTCGTGAATTAATTCATCATGAAGAACTTCGTGAATATATTCATGAATAAATTGTCCATGTAAAACAGTTATAACTGCTACAGTAAAATTCATTATTTTTTAATTAATTAACGATCTTTTTGCTATTTTGAATTCTAGAA